TAACTCAATAACACCAACTATATAATATACACAGATATTTATCATGTGATTAATTCATCAATCATCATCATCAACAGCCTATAATAGTCCACTGCTGGACATAGGCCTCTCCTTAAAAAGGAGACGAACACGTGACTTATTGCCAATTAAGCTACTGCTCACAGCTAGACTCGAGAGATTATGTCTTATTTTGTGTTTCTAAGTTTGTCAATGACGAACGTCCATACAACCGTTCATCTTTTATTTAACTCTCTTATGAGTGAAATGTCCAAAAACCCTTTCTTAGTTGGAGCTTACAATATAAGAAACATTAGCTGCCAAAATTTCAAGTTTGTAAATCCATCGGTTTAAGCTCTGCGTTAATGAATCAAACAGTCAGGGCAAGTAGTTTTATATGTATAGGTAGAATTCATCCGTGTGGTGACGAATTAAGAATATAGAGTGTCACCATCCCTATTCACCTCGTGGGTGTCGTAAGAGCCGACTAAGGGACACACACAACTACGCAGGACAAGAGCAAAAAAACCTTGACACAAACCCTACCACCAACCACCTACCAACCCGTATGACCAGCGTGGTATAGTAGGCCAAAACCTCTTTTCTAAGGAGAGGCCTATGTTCAGCAGCAGACTATTAAAGGCTTTTGATGACGATGATGACCTGCCACGTTTCGCTATGGAATATTGTGGTTGCAAAATATAGGCAAAAACCATCTTTGAATCGTATCAAAATTTGAGCTGAATCGGTGCAGAACTTTTTTGGTTTTTGAAGTGAACACAAACCAACTTAACAATTATTTACATATATTTCATAAATAAAAAAAATGTTTAAATAAACTCGGTTGAAAACCTTAAGCTTGCACCCTAATACGTGAGTTGTATTAAAATTATAGTCAGGAAAATATGTGCTCTTAAGACGTTTCTGTCTACCCTTTCATTCTCCATTATGTATAATTTTTTTAGCATGTTTGTCTATTCAGAGCATTTTTTTCCTTCTTCTTCTTGGATGTTTTTTTTCTTTTTAAGTGATTACTACGAATGTATATTCGAATAAATAAGTAATTGAGTTTACTTGTTCTTACTGTAGAAGTATATTTAGGATTTTTTTCTGCCTTTTCACTGAAGATTGTGATCTCTATTGAAGCTTAATATCCCAATATCAAAAAAAAAAAACAAAATTTAAGACAAGTCTTGAATATATATATATATAAGACTAAATAATACACAACATTATCCTAAAATATATCCAAAATCCTACAGGAATCATAAGCAAAGATATTTACTGCGAAACTAGATGGGAAGAATTTAATCAAACGAACAATCTGGCTCATTCCTCTATATCTCCAGTTTATTCCAATGTATGCCTGTCCTAGTTCGGCCCATTATTTATGGCGCATGGGGGCTCACTCGCCTCAAATTGGCCAATTACATTAGGACAAGGCAGAACCCAGAGACGTACTTAGGAAAAGTGAGTGTGAATTTTTTACAACGTATAAAAAATTTGGTTTTAATTCGCTCTTGTGGAGGCACGAAAGGTTACATTGCTTTATTATTCACGTTTCATATACGTCTAGTTTTTTATAAGGGTTTGGTTTCGTAAAGTGTTGGGCTAACAGTGTTATAATGGTATCATTTCGTATTCAGAGCAGCATACATTTGCTAACTGCGTAGTGTTAAACAAAAACATACTTCGTAAATTCAAAGTTTTTCTTTCAAATGGAAATATGGCAGACAATTACAAGATTCATTTTTTCAATTTGCTAACTTACAATACTTAAAAATATTGACATTAGTCGAATACCTGAGTTGATGACACGGGATGTAGTCAGAAAACGAAAAAAATTTTTGAGCTGAAAATTGTTGTATGCACGGCGCACTTAATGACACCACTGTAGCGTCACGGGGATGATTCGAATAAAACCACCGTATCGCACTATACTGTATATATTTACACAAATACAGAACCAATACATGTACCTTGAAGGGTTTAATCTATATATACTCGTATATAAGAGATTTCCACGTATATAGTCACTCATCATGACATCTCTGGAACCATTAGAGCTAAGGACTTGAAATTTGGTAGGAATATTCTTTTCACCGAGTAGAGGTCAGCTAAGAACGGATTTTAAGAAATTCAAAAAAAATTTTTTTTTTTATAATGTAAATAGCAAAACAACGTTTTCAGGGTCAGCTAGTTAACAATAAATGTCTGGTCTATTTACATTACAATTACAAGTACATGTGAACGAAACTATATCGCGATTCAGAATTAGTGTGACTCGCCACCTATCGATCGCTCGACAAACTAAATTATTGTTACATCTAAAAAATTGTTTTAAAATTAGATGAAATTAAATCTATCGTGATCTCTTATGATTAAGACGCACCTGTTTTTGGCTAATGGTCATGTCTTTGATGAGCAGCTCTTTAGTGCCACAGATTCAACATCCATTCTGAGAAATGGAAATAATTGAATTGTTATTAAAGTAAGTACAATACATGTTAGAAGTTTATCATTATAACAAAAAATAGTTGGTGAAGTTAGGGTTTGCAATGGGTGTACCCTGCCTACATTTGAGATGGATAGATAGATAGATAAATACTTATTTGTACACCAGGGTTTTACAGACATTATTAAGTAATTAACATCAAATATAATGTACAAAGGGCGGCCTTATCGCTTAGTGCAATTTCTTCCAGGTATCCTTTGGATGGACTTGATTCATTTTAAACTGGTGATAGGTATACAGAAATTATGGTAATTAATTAAGTTTTAAGCTATGAAATATCTATCATAAGCAAATCCTACTAATATATATTTAATCATTGAGAATATATGAATCTATAAAAGTGTGTTTATTATTTTACGTAAGTGTAATTATATTCCATGTAACTTGTTATATTTTATGTTTTTTTTAGTGTGGTGACCGCTGTGAGTAAAATTCTTACTAGAGTTATCTGTAAGTCAGTATGCCTTAATTAATCATCTCATCTCATATGAAAGACATCCACTTCTGGACATAGGCCTCCCCCAAGCATCGCCACAGTCCTGTGCTGCCCACATGCAACGACTCACCAGGTCCTCTGACCACCTTGTGGGTGGCCTACCTACAATGCGTTTTCCAATACTTGAGAACGGTCGAAACTTGAGAACTTTGTGGCCCCATCGGCCATCGTTTCTGCGAGCAATATACCCCGCTCAGTGCCACTTAAGTTGGGGAATTTATCCAGCAATATACCGATATTGCCCAAAGAATGAGGATTTAGGTCACCGGACCTTGGTCCTCATTCCTGATTCGATCACGCAGAGAAACTCCGAGCATTGCCTTAATTGAATCGACTAAAATCACAGTTACCCATATTTTACCTAAAATGCAAGAACGTCTCCGGTCTAACTTCCTTCATCTCAAATATTATATCATCAATCATCATCAACAGCCTTTGATAGTCCACTGCTGGACATAGGCCTCTCCTTAGAAAGGATGTTTTGGCGTACTAGCTGTCCAGACGGGTTGGTATAGGGTTTGTTTCAAGTTTTCCTTCTCTTTGCAGTGCTGTTGTCCTGCAGAGATTGCTCACTTAGTCGGCTCTGATACCCTTGAGAAGAATAGGGGTGGTGGCACTCTGTATTTTTATTCTGTTACCACACGGATAAGTCATCAGATATATGTTGAAGCGTAAGTAATCATGTCAAATATGTCAAATATAATATACCCTAAAGCAATTAAGTATTATTTTTCTTCACCTTTGGAAACTCCTTTGAAACTAACAATGTTTTGAAGTGTAAGGCGAGATGGGTGCATAACGAACCCTCTCATTAAAAGCTATAAATTACTTCAAGAAATTAATACCTGAACGTTTAATTTGAAACATGATACTTCGGGTGGAGAGGTTCAAGATTTACGACTGAAGACGAAATGGACCCACTTTTAAGGTGAAATAAAATGTTACTTAGTTTAAACTTTAAATTTATTTACTTACTATTTGACAAGACAGAGATTGCTGCTTTTGTGTGTGTTGATCTATGACTTTAAAGTCTACATAAAAGACGATTTCAAACAATTTTGAAAATTTTATGAAATAAAGAGAGAGTTTGAGTTAAAATGGAGGTATGAAATGAGAGATTATAGAAAATTTAACGATTGAAGTGGAATTCCCGCAAAATGTCATAAGGCTGTAGAAACGACCCTAACCTATTGTAATGCTTACATATAAATTTTCAGAAAAAAAGTATTTTTAAATAATGAAAACAGGGGACCAAGTCAAAAAGAGGAATAAGTAAAAAATATCAACTTTGGGGTAGTATTTTCATCATTTGATTTAGCAACTTTGAGCTAGGAACATATTCTAATAAGTTATAAGATATTTTACTCGTAAACTTAATTCATATCGGTTTACAGAAAGACAACTTACAAGTGCAACATAATTTAACTGGACTAGTATAAGGTTTTTCAAGAATTACTTTAAAACTATAATATTTATCAGAAAAGCTTTAATGTATAATACAATAAAAGTGAATGTTTTTAGCTATAAAAAGAGATATTTAAAGTCTACTTTAAATATTGATTCTTTACTTGTATCACTTTTTACAGTAGGCACAGAATTGCTTTTAGCAACCTTCAGATCAGATATTTTCAATAAAACAAGTTTACTCATCCATATTTACCCACTAAACTCTGATGTAGGCAAAATCACTAATACCCAATCAATGTACTATTTATGTAAAAATGTAACTGTAATTTAATAGATACTCTATGATGACAACAAACCGAAATTCATATGAAAGTTGGACCCTTTTAAGTAAAATGAAAGCACAAAACTTTAAATTCTTGTAATTCATCTGTGCTTTTGTCTATTTGAATATGAATCACAGATAACAGGAGCTCTTTCGTAATCGTTCTTCTATTTTAAGTCAGTATGTCCATAAAAGAATATTGACATATCAGTATTTCAAAATGTCAAATAAAATAATATTGATAACTAATTTAAATAGTGATAATGTCGGAGAAAAATAGCCCAAGAAAATACTTTGTATGTGGAGGTTTTGGAGGTTTGTTTCAAATAACAGTTGGCTATCCAATGGATACCATAAAAGTGAGATTACAAGCTATGCCTTTACCAAAACCAGGTGAGCCGCCCTTATATACAGGCACAATTGACTGTGTTGTGAAGAGCGTCAGAACCAATGGCTTTAAAAGCTTATACAGAGGTATGTCTACGCCTCTTATATTTGCTGGACCAATAAATGCTTTAAATTTCTGCGGTTTTTACCTTGGCAAAGAAATATTTGAATCAGACCCAGATAACGTTCATTCAATGCCTGAACTATTTGCTGCAGGATCGATTTCAGGAATAATTGCATCAATACTTACGGCTCCATCAGAGCACGTCAAATGTCTCCTTCAAGCCCAAGATGCAAGCGGTCCACACCCCAAATATAAAGGTTCAATTGACTGCTTCAAACAATTGTATGCTGAAGGCGGAATAAAGAACATATATAAAGGTACATTGGCTACTATACTAAGAGATGTCCCAGCAGCTGGAATGTATTTTATGTCTTATGTGGCAATTAAAGATGTTATAGTCCAGCAAGATGCTAGCGCAGGCAATAAATTGATGTGTACAATATTTGCCGGTGGGTTTGCTGGTACGTGTTACTGGCTCGTTGGGATGCCAGCTGATGTATTAAAGACAAGGTTACAATCAACTCCTACAGGCACATATCCTAATGGCGTGAGGGATGTTTTCAAACGGTTGATGGCTATTGAAGGCCCAAGTGCATTATACGTAGGCTTAACTCCAGTTATGATAAGGGCTTTTCCAGCAAATGCAGCAACCTTTGTGGGTTTCGAACTTGGTTTAAAATTATATGATTGGATCATGCCGGATCTTTGACATTTGTTTTTGTAAGGGCTGAAAATATTGAAAGCTGTATTACGTGTGTATACAATCTGATGAAATAGATCATGTTGCTCCATGATCCAGTATCCTTATCCATCTTAAACTTTATTGTCTCAAAGAAAATATAAAGCAGAATCAAATACATTTAGCTGTAAGTGTAACATATAAAAAGGGTATTAAGGGTATGGGTATTTTTGGATTCATAGGCATATTTAAAGTATATGATATTGTATTATTATATGACTAACAGTATTGTTAGCCCCACTCCACCTTCCTTATTGGTGTGAGAAATGCATAATTTACTTTCCTTTAAATGTCCGTGTGGTGATGGATTAAAAGTACGGAGTGTTAGCACCCCTGTTCATCCCATTAGTGTCATAAGAACCGACTAGGGGATAAAACTACGCAGGTCAACAGCAGTACAAAGAGAAGGAAAACTTGAAACAAACCCTACACCAATCTTTCTGGCGAGCGTGGTATAGTGGGCTCAAACCTCTTTTTTAAGGAGAGGCCTATGTCCAGTAGTGGACTGTTATAGGCTGTTGAAGATAATGATGAAATTGTCTACTAGGGATTTCAACATATCAATAACTTTAAAAACGAGTAACATTTTTTTTGTAACTTAATGTTACGCTTTAACTTGAAGTTTTTAATGTTTGTTAGTTATTCATATGTTTATAAAATACCTCCAAGGTGGTCACAGAAAAAATAAAGATAATATTTTAAACTTACGTTGAACATTTTTTACGCAACTATGCTAGGCCTTGCATCTAGGCGTACTGTATTCGTAGTGGGTTTTTCTTTATTTAATTATTGCCATTGAAAAATAGTTTTGTTTCATACTAGTGATTTGCATCCAATGGCATCCAACTAAATAAATGTACATTTCGTTTCAATCGTGTCATTGATTTATATGAATGTTGTAAATAAATATTATAACAACAAAATATTCGTGTTTATTTGGTATTTATTTGATATTGGCATTAATATCTGTGTAAGTAGTTCAAATTTGCCAAAATATCTGTAGGTATAATAGAAACTACTTATATAAATATATATAACCTGTTCTTTGGTGTTAACTTTATTAATTTTACATTTAAAAACTTCATGGTTGTAGATATACTGTCATTGTCGTTTTGAGGTAAGTTTAATATAGTTCCACCAACTTATCTGTTCAGTAGACGGCGTCGCTACTGGAGCGATAGGTGTTGCTATTTAAAAAAATTATCAGGAGTTTAGGGTATTTGAAACATACGAAATCACGTGAGCTGTAATATTAAATATTGATCGGAGTTTATTAATTAATGTTTAAATATCATAACTATATAATTTATAAATTAGTTGAAAAGAAAGAAATATTTTGTTTTGCAAACAGATAATACGATTTATTATACCAAACTAGTTACATTATATTTTATAAAAATAATTGTGGTCGTGATATCAGTTTCCCCTGGAAATTGATATCTTCTCTTAAAATATTCAATAGCTTGGTTACAGAAGGAATTTCTTTTTTTACTGAATAAAATTCATGGGTTTTTCTCCTAATCACACCAATATCAAAGTCATCAACTTCTAGTTTCCCTGTTTTCCTTTCCCTGTTTTTACCAGGTGTACATATTTTAGTATTAGTTTCTTCAGCTCGTTTTTCTTCATTCATTAATTTATAAACAAATCGCTCACTAACACCTGTAACAAAAAGTGGCTCATCAAACCTAAGAAATAATGTTATTTTTTTTATTTATTCGGGTGGAATAAACAGTGAACACAATGTAGGTATACGTTTAACGTTTATGAAAATAAAGAATAGTAAAATGGTGCACTAGTTAGTAGTAGTGGGGGCGACGTATCAGTTTTATTTCTAATTTTCAGTGGATATATATAGACAATAAAATATGAAACATAAGCTGAATATTAAAATAATAAATAATAAAATAATTTAAGTGGGAAATTTTACTGTCCTTAGACTATAACACTAACCTGTAGCGGCAGCAACACGTTGTGGCACTTTTTCAAATGGTATTTTTGGAAATTGGAGGCGTTTTTCTTCGTTCATAAAAGATAAAACTTTTAAAATAATAACTCTAGCATCACTTTTAAGAGCTTTCGGCATTTTAATTGTAGTTTTAATAATAAAATCAAATGATAAACACAGAGAGCACCCACACCTTGTAAACTGACACGCAGATTGACGCAGATTTAGTTCCGATTTTGTCTACTGAACAGATAAGTTGGTGGCACTGTAAATTGTTTTACTCTTTGTTATACTCAAAACAAATAAAAAGCAAACATATTCTTTTTGAAAAACCCACGATGGTTAAAATGTAATCGAAAAAGGATTAAATAATTTAAAAATCACCGACCTAACCAGATTAGGTAACGAATGAACATAAACTTTAAATGCTTTTGCTAAAAGAGTTGATCTTTTGCGAAGTCGGTTATATAAACAATGGAGTATTAGTTTTTATAGCATTTCCTAACGTGCCTATTTGTTGCTCGAAGATATATTCAAATGCGGCAATAACAAATAACATATTCAAATGTCTATGAAGTTATAAACAACCAAAGAATATCTGCCGGGGCTGCCATTAAATGAACTAAAGTTTTTTAGTTTTATAGTAACGTGAATATAACTAACTATTGAAGATATTTTACGAAGACATAATGTAACACAGGAAATCATAATTTTAGTTGAAATTTGAAATAGATATAGCAGACCCCGATGGATATTTTTTGATTGTTTATTGTTTATAACAAATTAAATGAACCTTTGAGTTTATCAAAAGTTTTACTAGTAACCATTAAGGAGTTCCATTATATTCCTTTTGGCTTAAACAGTACCCAGACAGTAATAGAAAGGGCTCGTAAAAACCAATGTAACGAGCCCAAACATGCCAGTAGTCATTGAAGAATTCCAGTACCTATCCACCTCTTGGCTTCCTCATCAGATCAGCTTAAAGTTACCAATTTATAGTATTGACATTTAAATGTATTACATATAACTGCAGTTTCAAACTAACAAGACAGACTTGGCAAAAAAAGAGCAAAAACTCATTTTTAACTCATTTTTTTTCTAATAACTTTCTACCGTAACATTTATCTTAGAATCATTACTAACGAACCACAAACCCATTACTGAAAACTGCATCAAACTCGGACAAGTATTTTTGTAGATAAATAGCAACATTGGTTGCACAAACCAATGTTTACTGCAGCGCATCCCAGTGAGTTACCACTGTAACACCCATTTATAAACCAGCACCACTCAACTACGAACTCATTGCTGAAAACCGCATCGAAATCGGACTATTAGTTTTGGACATAAATGGGAACATTGGTTTGCACAAACAAGCAAACATCTTTCACCCAAAACGCATTACCTTCTCCGTGCCGTGGTGGGTAAAAATAAGACGATTTATTTATATCTACTTAGATTACTAATAGCGAATAAAAAAAATTGAACTAGGGGGCCTTGACATGTTGTTGTTGTATGTATAGATGTTTTGGGATCTTTGGTAAATTCTCACTTATTATAATAATAGTAAAAATTCTATTAAAAGGCTGTACTGTAGTAATAATACTAAATTTAACACAGGTCTAAAACATAGAATCGAAGTAAGTAATACCCATATCTACGAGTATTGGTCTTATCAATATTAACCAAAAACTACCTCTTTGGCAGATGCCCAATTATTAGAACTATTTTAATAAATATGACAACCATAACCCTTCCCTAGAACGAATCTGACATTAGCCAGATTTCACACTTTATGTGTCGCAGAGGCACATGTAAACTGTAATTACACTTAAATAACTATAAGAAATGTATCACAGAGTACAACAGTCATAACTTAAATTTTACAAGTGACTAGGCATGACGTAGTAATCATATATATCACGTTTATAATGACTTTTGATATTTCAATGGTGAGGTGTAAAATTAAAAGTTCGAACAGATAAACATGAAGGAAAAAAAGAGTCCTCTCAAATATTTTATATGTGGAGGCATAGGCGGTTTGCTTGGTGTAAGTTTGGGCTATCCGATGGATACTATAAAAGTAAGGTTACAGACCATGCCTGTGCCTAAACCGGGTGAAGAGACCATTTATACAGGCATGATTGATTGTGCCAGAAAAACAATTAAAATGGACGGTGTTAAAGGATTGTTCCGAGGGATCTTAGCACCTCTTGCAGTTGCGGCTCCAGTAAACGCTGTTAACTTCTTCGGTTTTGGTATCGCCAAGAAATTAATTGAAAAAGACAGTGACCATATCCATTCAATGTCTGAACTATTTGCTGCAGGCACGTTTGCGGGATTGGTCACCTCAGTTTTAGTGGGTCCGTCAGAGCATATTAAATGTCTTCTCCAATTGCATGACGACAATAGTTCAAATCCTAAATATAGTGGGGCAGTAGACTGTTGCAAGAAGTTGTATGCTGAAGGAGGAATCAAAAATGTGTTCAAGGGTACTGGAGCTACTATATTAAGAGATATTCCAGCTGCTGGTACGTTCTTCATGTCTTATGAGACGCTTAAAGAAATATTAGTACCTGAAAATGCTAGCGGCGCTTATGACATGTTGGCTACTATATTTTCGGGTGGTTGTGCTGGCTGCTTATACTGGTTAGTTGGCATGCCAGCTGATGTACTAAAAACAAGGTACCAAACGGCTCCTCCTGGCAAATACAAGAATGTGAGAGACGTTTTCAGGAAATTGATGGCTACAGAAGGTCCATCAGGTCTGTACCATGGCTTAGCGCCAGTTCTGGTCAGGGCTTTCCCAGTAAATGCATTGACATTTGTAGGTTTTGAAATTGGTTTAAAAGTATGTAATTGGGTCATCCCAGACTTGTGATACTCGTGTTTGTGTAATAGCTGTGGTATTTTTAAGAAACAACGGTTTTTTTTCCCGTCTAAGGTTGTGGGACTCGCACGAAGGAAGCTCTAACTTTGGTATTTAATAATACCATTAAGCTAATTAAGTATAAAACTATTATAGTTATGACTAATAATTTTGCCGAGAAAGACTAGAATATTGTATTATGTTTTTGAGGCATCAATTAAGGTATATTCCAAGTCTATAAATATATTTTTCCACATACAATGTAGAATAAAATATAGTTTTCTTAGCTTTACTTATGATTTTTGTTTGTAGTCTGTGGTACTTTCTTTATTTATAATTATGAGTTTAAAATTTCATGTTTCGTCTTTCATTTTGGTAAGTTTACAAACTGTGAACGTATTTTCCACTCCAACGCGAGTATAGTCATAATAGTAACTTCAATTTTAAATCCAATATCGTTTTTAAATATTATTATGAACTCCAGGCTGATACTGTATTTAAAATAAGTAAAAAACCAAAGAGAGTCAGAAAAATAAAGCTAAGTATGAAAAAGATGCTCCATTACTTTGAATAGGAATGACAGAGTAAGAAAGATTTAGATAGATCATTACTTTGATTTAAATTGAAAAAGGTATAAACGACAAGTTTAGTTTTTGTATAAAGGGGTTCGTCATCATCATCATCATCATCAACAGCCTTTAATAGTCCACTGCTGGACATGGGCCTCTCTTTAGAAAAGAGGTTTTGTCCTACTATACCACGCTGGCCAGACGGGTTGGAATAGGGTTTGTTTTAAGATTTCCTTCTCTTTGCAGTGCTGTTGTCCTGCGTAGTTCGCTCCCTTAGTCGGCTCTTACGACACCCACGGGATGAATAGGGGTGGTGACACTCCGTATTCTTAATCCTTCACCACACGGACGTAAAGGGGTTATCTATCTATACTAATATTATAAAGCTGAAGAGTTTGTTTGTTTGTTTGTTTGAACGCGCTAATCTCAGGAACTACTGGTCCGATTTGAAAAATTCTTTCAGTGTTAGATAGCCCATTTATCGAGGAAGGCTATAGGCTATATATCATCACGCTAAGACCAATAGGAGCGGAGCACCAATGAAGAATGTTTCAAAAACGGAGAAAATTTATTACTATTGAGAGACGCAGACGAAGTTGCGCGGGTGAGCTAGTCTAAAATAAGGTGCAACTAAAAATAGTAGGTAGCTTAGGATTAAAAAAAAATTAAAAAAAATTTCAACGATATGCGTTATCATTTAATAGTTGAGACGTAATCTCTGCCAATAGAATAAGCCGTAAATGATAGTACTATGTACTATTTTTTTATTTCAAGCCCAATCTTTAAACCTTTGAGAGATATATCACGTTTTGTCTGCCAAACCTTACTGATCTATATTCCAGTCTTTTTCTGGTTATTCGTTATGCATTAATTTGTGAATGTATTGGCGTGACGCATATAAATATAGCTTTCCTAGTTATAAGTTTCTGAATGTTCTCTATCTAGAAGCATGTTTTAATTTCACTGTTTGCTTATTGATATGACCATCAAACTGCTTTATAACTCTGGGATTTAAATTTTACTTGTTCCTCCATTGAGAGACTGTTAAATACAGGTGCTAAGTCAATGCTGATAATCGTTATCATGTAAAACCAGATAATTACGTCTATGTAAAGTTTTAGGCTTAGGAATTTGGAAAGCGCTGCCTTAAACTAAGAGAAGAACGCAGTTGAAAATGGCACATGATGGGCAAAGGAGCATGAGTAAAATAAGAAAAAGTTATGATCCAGAAGGTAGGTACTATTATCTTACTTTTATACTTCTATTAATCTGAAACTAGAACTGAGAATTTGTTATTGGCTATCAGATGATTAATCTGTTTCGATTTACTAGTGTTTCCAACTGTAAGTTTTCCATAAATTAAGTACATCAATAAATAAAGTATTATAATGGTGTGACAATAAGATATAATCTAGTTTTTATAGCGTCATAGCGTCAATTTCTTATGAAGAATCCGCTACGACCCATAATATGTATAATACCACTCAGAACATTAATCAGCTATGACTGAGTGAAGTTATTCGATTATTTTAAAGTTAACAATAAATATATACTTTACTAATCAATAATACGAAAGGCAATATCAAAATAACCAATGTCAGTCTCAATCTGAATCCCCAACTATGAATAAAAAATCGGTGTAATCCAAAATTTAACAAATCCCAACATTTAATCTTTCCATCCATCAGAGGTAAGCCTTGCACCCATAATTTTTAATTAAAAAATGACCTCACGGATAGTCCATTAAAGTCCAATTCACATATCATGAAAATTGTATGCGATGTCCGGGCGGACAGACGGACGGACGGGAGCAGGATGCGTCCGGGTCAGGCTCAGATTACCGGACAGCCGGGAGATATTAAAACATCACGACTAAATAACAGAACGATTATCACGAAAGCTTTTTAACGGTTCACCGATGGTCTAAGCCAAAAGCTGAACCAGCAGTACACTGATACCTGTAATGGATTGGCTTCATTCGCTCTATTGAGAAGTAAAATAATTAAATAAATATTTTCCCGAGCAGTTTTTATTGTTATTTTTGATTGGGAACGCTTGAGCCACGTGTAGTGGAAAAACTAACATAAAAAGAAAGAAAACATTATGTTTCTAAGAACACGGCAGCTTAACCATAACCCAAGTTCTAATATTACTGAGCCTTTAGGTTTTTTAGTTTACACAATTGTCCAGTAAATAGGTGATCACATTTGCCGTGGGAGAGCCATGCTTCGTCACATATTGCCTGCCTCTACCAGTAAGACCGGAGTTGGAGGTGTTCATGGTGGCGGTAGTCAGTTACTATCGGAAAACTCGTTTATATGTTAAAAAAATAAAAGTTAATGGCTAATTTATAATTATTTGAATAAACCGACAAGTTTTGGTAAATTAGCGTTTTAAAGATTGTTCAAGACGTCATGTTTCTGCATTGCCTCTGAAACTCTTGACTTGCAACATACAACCAAACAGTTATATTTTAACAGCCATTTTGAATTGTACGAGATTATTCATTTGAACGTTTTAATGTCCACGTAATGGAGGCTCTGTGGGCCCTAAATAGGGCCAGACGAGATGAACTGGCGTTTTGAAATGTTTTTATGTGACGTCACGTGGAGCGAGATTTTCGGATGATGAAGTGAAGCACTTAAAACGATTCATTGTGCTACAGATGCTGCGTGTCATAAAGCGTGAGATGTTTTTTTCATTTCAAACATAATATTTTGCTCTAATCTTATGTGGTTCAGAGTTAAATACCCATGTGGGTATAATAATAGGCCCGAAAGGTTAAAATTGTGATAATACTGAAACTATTCAATACTGATACTGAAGTAGAGAAAGAAACCAGAAAGTAAAAGAAACGGAGATGACCATCGTCACTTCATAAAACAAGATCGAGAGTTCTGTGAGAGGCTGATCTGCCACAGCAATCTTAGTAGTATTGTAACGGCAGACGGAACTGCACCCCAGGGATACATATAATATACTAGCTGAGACCCTCGGTGTTACCCGCGTTTGTTGTTATAACCGCGGGCAACGCCGCGAGGCGAAGCTAGTCAAAAAAAGTAGCCATAGTTACTCCTTATGTCATCAGCTATCTGCCAGTGAAAGTTCCGTCGAAATCGGTCCAGCCGTTCCAGAGATTACCCGGAACAAACAGACAGACAGACAAAAATTGTAAAAAATGTTATTTTGACATATTAGTAAAAAGCGGTTATTTTAATATTACAAACAGACACTCCAATTTTATTTATTTGTATAGATGTGGTTATACCCTGTAAAACAGTGTAAGTTAATGCACAAAAACAGCGGTTTCACCAGAGTGATGTCTTGCATAAAACCGGTGTTAAGAAAAAACATACACTTTGTCATTACACTAAGTTTGTTGCACACAAAGATATCAATGCCATATTCATAGTAAGCAATTTTTTTGTTACTTTTCAGCAAGTGACACATTCCTACATTTCCAAAAGTTAAGCACTTGGAAATAATGGCAACAATTGTGGTAGACGGGGAAACTGGCTCTCAGGGGCAAGCTTACCAACTGCCTATCGGCCCAAAGTGTTGCTTGACGAGGTGCGCAAACTCTTTAAAGGAGTTATTGCAAAGCGCCTCTTCAAGTACCTCTCCGGAGTGGGGCCGGAACTGGCAGACATCCCGTACGGTTTCCGTTAGGTGATCTCTAACGCGGATGCAATCATGTACGTGAGGGTTCTGGTGGACGAAGCAGTTTCCCAGGGCGAAGTGTATCACGAAGTGCCTTTCTACCTCCTCGGGGCATATTTCTCGAAAAGAGCCGACGTCTACCCAAGTAGGACCAATTTCGGTCGGCGTGAAATGTCGTGTTTAGTGTCACGTGTCACGTTTTGAGTGTCAGTGTGTATTCTCCGCTCGGTACCATGATTGCGGCTATGGTTTGGAATATTTCTTTTCTTTGCTCAATTTTAGCTCTTCTTTGCTCTATTTTCTTCCATACAGAACACCAAAATTGTTGCCTTCATAGTAATATGCTCTTAAAACTAAATTTTCTATGTTGCAATGAAACCGGTGCTTCATGAAATGTTAAAATTTTTCGTCACGAAAAACCCGGGTGGAGGGTGGGACAAGTGCCCCACCTTGCCCCACTGTGGGTACGTTCATATGAAAATAACGAATGTTTTGAAATATTTTCAATAACTTTTGTCATAATTAAATTAATTTTGATCAGGATTGGCCTTATTTGTATTAATATTGAAATGAAAGTCAAACTTTACTAGATACGAGTACTTTAATTAAACGTGGAACCATAGATAAAATTTTATAGATTTGTGTTTTTAATATAAATGTACATTCTAGTAATTCCGAGAAACAAATCACTCTTGGCAAAACGCCTTTAAGGACGCAAAATTAGGCGATATGGGTCCTATTTTAATATGGGTCCTATTTTTTGAACTTAATTATTCTAACAGT